CACCTTCCCGGCGCGGGTGGGTGGAGGTGGGTCGCGGGGACCGCCCCCAACGGGGCACCACGCCTGCCGGCCCTGAGCGGCCCAAACGCGAGGGGGCGCGCGCGCCTGCTTGGACCCGAGTCGCGCAGGGAGCAGAGCGCAGGAAGGGGCGCAGACCTCGGCCGCCCCCTGCCCACGCAGGTACGGCCGGTCCTCACTCGCCCGCCCGCCCGCCAGAGGGGCCGCGGGGCCTCGGCTCTTCCAATCCATTCCCCCCACAACTAAACTTGGGGCGGCCCCTGAGGGAGCAGCTTTGGGGGGGGGGAGGACCCAGCGGGTGCCTGGCCGCTGGGGGACTCTCCCCTCCGTCTGGCACCAGAGACTCCGCTGTCCCCAGCGCTCACCCAGCCGGCCCTCGATACGCCTGGCTGAGCCCAGCCCGACCCGACCCCGCGGGGCAGCTAGGGGCTCGGTGAGGGGCCCCCACCCAAGGCAGTGTGAGGCAGAAGGGGGCCCCAGGAGGGCATGGGCTTAGCGAGGGCCGGGGCACCCCTGAGGGCGCAGCGGTCGCTGCCCCTGGCCTGTGCTAGGGACAGGCTACAGTGGCTGCAGGTCAAGTGGGAAGATGTGGGGTGATGAGTTGGGCTGTCCCGGGGTGCAGGGTCCAGCTGGTCTCCCCAGCGGAGGTAGCAGTGAGACCCCGGATTCATGAGCAAAGGCAGCGAGAGATCCCTCGTCTTCCAGGGCGGTTCCGGCCCACCCTCGGCCACCACCCACCTGGCCTTCTCTGCGACTTGCCCTGTGTCCAGGAGGAAGGGACCGCTGGCCTCACTTGGACAGAGAAGGAAGCGGCTCGGACGAGCTCCGGCTTCCTGGCCTGCCTCCAGCAGGCCCACAGAGCCCCCAGCATGGGGAGCAAGCAGGGAGACTGGCGTGCACCCCAACAGGGGTCTGGGCGGTCCCTCTTCCTGCCCCTGAGCCCTTTTCTAAACAAAGATTCATTTCTGCATATAAGAACTGGGGTACAGGCCAGAGATGTGGCGGCGAGCGGGCTCCCCATGGAGAGTGGGGAGCAGAACAGTCGGTTCCACTGGGACACACTGTTGGGGCGGCAGTGGGGAGACAGGAGGGTTCCGCTGCGCCCTGGGGTCACCCACAGCTGACGGCCTGTGGCTGAGCCCAGTGGGAAGAGTGGCCCCTGGAGCCCCTGGAACTGCACGGCAGGGCTGACTCCCAGCGGGGG